TTCCCTCCCTCTGCCCCACCCTGAATCACACTCTCCTGCCTGCAGGGACCTGCCTTTTCCCTTTTCCCTGGGCCACTTCTGAGGAGCAGGGAGCGGAAAAGGGGGAGAAGGGCCAGAGAGAAGTCCTGCCTTCGCTGAGTCAGGGGGTGGGGCATCAATTTAGAGCAGATTCTAGGATGTTGAGATCAGCATGTTCCTGGTGGGGAAACTGAGGCCCAGAGAGATGTAAGGAATTAAAAAAATAATAAAAGAATGACATAGAACAGTATAAAAGTTTTCAGTGCATCACCCTTAATAAGGGTAAACATTATTTCATGAAATACTTGTTCAATTGTATATGTGTGTGTGTTGGTTCTGTGTGTGTGTATATTTCTATGGTGGATATTGGGTAGCAGTGTAAAGTTTATTTCTTACTCTAGGAAGCAAGTAGAAAAATTTGAAAGTCACTCTCCCAAACTATGTTAATCTATACTGTGGGATCCTATGCAGTTGTTAAAAAAAACCCTTTCTGCCCAATGCCCACTCTGTTTTCATCATATTACTTAGCACTACCTGAAGTGATTTTACTTATTCATTTACATGTTTATTGTCTGAATGTCCCATCAGGATGTAAGCTCCATGAGGATAGAGGCTGTCCATCTTATTTGCTACTGTGCCTGGAACAGTGCACATCATAAATAATAGCATAATAAATAATAAATATCAGCTAATGGATGACTCAGTGAGATAGTGATTATATGCATAAATCACCAAGAATAAGTTACAGAATATTATGTACTGTTTAGAACCATTTATGTGTCAGCCACGCACACAACTAAACAACCTATTTCTTTATGGGAGTAAAGGAATCTGGAAAGATGTACATCAAATATAGCAGTAGTTCATCTCCAGGGAGGGGCCTGAGATTAAGTGTGTGTGTGTGTGTGTGTGTGTGTGTGTGTGTTTGGTGTATGCGTTAGGGGTGACAATCTTGTGAAAGACTTTCTCTATTTTGTGAAGGATTTTATCACTCTATCTGTATTGTTTGAAAATTTTGCATCTAGAATGTGATCATATATCTCTTGTTGAATTAAAAGTCGAAGTTTAAGTAACAGATTGTGGTAAAAGACACATTATGAACTGATGTATTGACATGAGACACTGATAAATGAAAAAAGGAACTGCAGAACGATTTATATAGTAAACGATACATATAGTAAAATTCCATCTATTTTTAGTTTAAAATTTTTACTTCTGTCCAAGTAATCCATATTTAATTCCATTCTTATATTAAAAAAAATCTTTATGTGTGTATCTATGTATTTATATATGCATAGGGAAAATGCCTGGAAGGGTACCACCGTCAGTAGAGATTACCTCTGGGGAATGGGATTAGATAAAGGGCTGAGGGGGGACTTTAACTTTTTATTTTATATACTGTTTCTTGGAGGGAGAGTAGATGTTGTAGCAGAATTGGGGCAAACCCTAGGCACATACCAGACTCCCAGTCTCTGAGCTGAAAATATGCAAGAGTGTCCATACTCACCTCTCAGTAGTTATAAACCAGCATAGAAATAACAAAGTTTTTTCCAGTTCGTCAAAGTGGTCTAGTTAGAAGGAGAATGGGGGCCTTGTTTTCCTGGACTGGGACTCAGGAAAGCAAAAGGACTTAAATCACTGCAAATTATATTGTCTTGCCTTTTGTAAAATAATATTATGAAATAATTCATATTTGAAGAATTAATTCACGCTTGAATTTTATTACAAACATACGAGGCCCCACTACTCAGCATAAAAAATAAAATATTACCAATATAATTGCAGCCCCCTCTGTACTCCTCCCCAACTGCATCTCTCTCCCCCGTGCCCCACCACCAAAGTAACCACTAATCAGGATTTGCTATTTTTTATATCCTTACATTTCTGTATACTTGCACAACATATGCATATAGTAATATATAGTGGTATTTTGCGTAAGTTGAGCTTTATAGAAATAGTACTGAAGTGCTCGTATTTCTCTGCAGTTTGCTTTTTTTACCTGACATATTAATGATTCATTCATGTTGCCCTGTGTGTAGGTCCATTAATTTCCACTGCTCTGTAATATGCCATCTTATGACTATATCACAATTTATTTATCCATTCTCCTGTTGTTAGACGTTACAGTCTTTTTTCCAGGTTTTTGCTGTTATAAACAGTGCTGGTATGAATGTTCTTACTAACATTTTCTTGTGCATGGGTGGGAGAGTTTTTGTAGGTGCAAACCTGGGAGTAGCATTGCTGAGTCATAGGGTATGTGCATACCTTCAATTTTACTAGATATTGCCAAACTGATTTACAAAAAGCTTGGGCCAATTTATACCCCAGCAGTGCGTGAGAGTTCCCTAGCTCTAATTCCTTGCTAGCCATTGATGTCAGATGGTTGGATGTAAAATGGCACTTTGTTTTGGGTTTACTTTGCTTTATCTGATTCCTAGTGAGTTAGTGCATTTTTGCTTTTTTCTCCCTTGGGGGCTTAGAAGGTTACTTTGGGATGGAGGGTAATAAAGCATATGATTGAACCAATTGAGAGCTGTGAGTCTTTGATCTAAGCAGATAGGGCCTGGGTCACAGGGGTTAAAGTGGATCCACACCAATATGCACAGAGCTAATTACAGAGAGATCTTTCCCACCAAGCTAAGATCTGTCATGGACAGAAGTGGCAGCAGCTACAGCTGTTTCCCAAGCACCCTCCTCACACACCAGTGTCCTGAAAATTAAACAGCAGAGACAGCAATTATTATAGGTAACATTTATCATGGCTAGGAACAGTGTTAAGCTCTGTACACAAATAATCTCACATTCATATGCCAGCCCTACCAGGTGGGTTTCATTAACATCATTTTACTAATAAAGAAACTGAGGCTTTGAGAGGGTAAGTGACTTACCTAAGGTCATATAGCAAAAGCTATAATCTGAACCCACATCTCTCTGATGCCAAAGTTTGTGAATTTAACCACCACATAGTATCTCAAAAATTTGAGGAGATAACTCTCCATCAGTATATTTTTGAACACATACTTCCAACATGCTTGAATATTTATGTTATGTATAATATAAAATGTGCCAAAAATTTATACTAAGTGCTACACCTTTATTGCTTCCTCTGGGGGCAGATAGCACCAGGCTCATTGTCTCCATGTGACTGATTGGATAATTAAAGGACAGAAAGTGTAATTAACTTGCCCAAGGTCACAGAGTTGAGAAGTTCAGAGCAGAGATTGGAACTCAAAGAGGATGGGTGTATGGGGTTGGGTACAGGGAGAACAAAGAGAGTACTGGGGCTGGGGAAGCTGGTAAGTGGGGGGCAGCTTAAGGGGTGGCCCCATTCCCTTTCTAAAGCCAGGGGTGAGGGTTGGAGGCAGAGCCTCTGCTGCATCTGGCCTGGGTGGCTGAGGGGCAGAAAACCACTAAGCAGAGTGGGCACTGGGCCAGCTGCTGGGATTTGACTGCGGCCTAAAGAATGAGGGTCCTGTTGAGTAAAGGAAGCAAGTGGTAGCATTTCCCACTGCCGAACGCACATGTTGGGGGTAGATAAGGGAGACAGGAAGCTGAGCAGGGGCCAGTGCCGGTGCAGCCCCAGTAGGTGAGGAGAGGCCCTGCCAGGGTCGTAGGAGCTAGGCTGAGCTGGGGACTGGCAGAGTGCCCGGCAGGACTTCACAGGACCAGCCCTCTCCCTCCCTGTTAGCTACTGAAGAGAGGCAGTTGAAGCAACCAGGCCCAACTCAGATATCAACAGATAACAGCGGAGTGTGGTCCCTTCAGAGATCACCTACCCCTTAGGATGTTAAATGATAACAATGACACGTATTGAGAGCTTACAATGTGCTAAGCATGGTATTAAGTCAGCAGAGTACTTGTGTTTTATTCTCACTAGTGCCCTATGAAAAGTAGGAAGACATAGCCATCACTCCCGTTTTACAGTTGAGGACACAGAGGCATAGAACAGTGACTTGACCTGCTGGAAGACACCCAACTAGTAAAGACAGATCTCAAATCCAAGTGACTTGTATCCCAAATATGTTTTCTTAACTATCAGGCCATCCTAAAAGAGTAAATGAGATGACTCATACAAAGTGCCAGAACACAGTACGTATTCAGTAGGTGGGAGAGATAAGAAAGGAACTTGGCTTTGGGGGCAGCAAACAGAACTGACCGTGCAACAGGAAGAATGGAGGGCAGACATTAAGTAGGATTTCCTGAAGGAGAGGCAAAGGAATAGGTATGAATCTTCCTCAAGATTTCCCCCTGTACACACTCACACACCCCAACTTAGGAAACACGAAAAGAAGCCCCTAAAGTAGGATGATTCCAGCTCCTGCCTGCCTAGCAAGTGGCCTGGCATTCCT